GTGTGTGTGTGTGTGTGTGTGTGTGTGTGTGTGTGTGTGTGTGTGTGCTGTTGTTGTTTTTAATGCTATATTTAGTTTATAAACCTGGAAACTTAAAAAGAGAAGTTGATTACAAATCAAAATATATCCTACACTGTTGGGGGACTGGGAATTAAATTTTTAATAAGTATGTATGTATTATTTGCTTATCTTTCTTTATTTCTGGAAACAGGAATTTCAGAAAACTCTCGGTGGCAAACAGCCTGTGTACGACACCACAATCAGAACTGGCAGAGCACTCAAAGACAAGACTTTGCTTGCTGATGACACTCAGAAACTTGACAACTTGCTAGGAGAAGTCAGAGACAAATGGGATACCGTCTGTGGCAAGTCTGTAGAGCGGTAAGCATGTGTCTGTCCCCCATAAGGGTAGACCCATACAGATATGGTATGCCAAATTATCTTAAGAGATTGTCACTAGATAGGAATGAGGGGGCGCTGGTGACTTAGAACACCTGTTGCTCTTGCAGAGACCCAGGTTTGGTTCCTGGCATCTATATGTGGCTCATGTTCATGATCAGTGATAGATACCTGTAACTCCAGTTCTCGGGGATCCAGCTCCCTCTTTTGACCTTTGCAGGCACCAGGCACACTAGGTGCACATATGCACCTGCAGGCAAACCACTCATAAAATAGATCAGTCCAGACATCTAGACAAGGTTTGATTTAAAATGTCTAGGCATTTCTCTCATTTCTTTGTCGTCTATATTCCTAACTGTTCTAACATAGAAACTTACAGAGTTTAAGCAGTATTCCATTTCAGCAGTCAGGATTGTGAGCATTTCTTCTTCTTTTTTTAAATCCCTGAATTTTGCATGCCTTTTTTAGGCAGCACAAGTTGGAAGAAGCCTTACTGTTTTCAGGCCAGTTCATGGATGCTTTGCAGGCCTTAGTTGACTGGTTGTACAAGGTGGAGCCACAGTTGGCTGAGGACCAGCCTGTACACGGGGACCTTGACCTCGTCATGAACCTCATGGATGCCCATAAGGTGAGGAGTAGAAATTGGTTTCTTGGGAGGCAAAGTCTTTTTTTTTTTTTTTTTTTTTCACCTTCTGCTCTGTGTTGACCATCTGGAGAAGAATAAATGCCTGATGTGGAGGAGCAGCCCTTTGTCCTCTGTGTCCAAACAAACTTTTGACCATGTGTGATGGTACGTGGCCTTTAATCTCTGTAGTTCAAGGCTAGCCTGGTTCCTGGACAGCCAGGGATACAGAGAAACCCCCTCGCAAAAAAAGTAAAAATACTTGCTGGGATTCTGCATCAGTAACAAAGAATTTACCAAAATTGGTTTGATTCAGATTTGGCAGCATGTGAAGAGCTTCTCCCTGTTTGTCTCTTGGTTGAGTCACAAATGAAATTAAAATTCAGAGGAAGACTGTTAAGAAATCCATTCCCACTAAAACCTAAAATGGAAATGGGAGATTTTCCCTAATCACTTTGTGTAGTAACAAGCCTACCACCTTCTATACCACCAGTTCTCTGTCCTATCCCTGTTGTGTTGAGCTGTATAAGTTCTCCTGTTTTAACACAAAACATTCTACTTTGCTTTGAAATTATATCACATTCTATGGGCTAATGAGATAGCTTGACAGGTGATAGTGCTTGCTGCCGAGGCTGATAGCCCAAGTTCAATCCCGGGAACCCACATGGTGGAAGGAGAGACTTGACACATAAACAAAGACAGGACTAAGTATAATGCTCCACATTCTCTGGACTCCAGATAGGTTCTTACTGTTCCCCTCCATTCTAGAAACTTTTCAGATTAAGAATCATTTCTAGAGTCAAGTGAATCAGAACGTCTGAACTAACACCCACAACTACAACTTATGGTCTTTTGTTTGGGGGGGTTGTTTTGTTTTTGAAGATAGCTCTTGCTGGAACTTTCTCTGTAGGTCAGGCTGGCCCCAAAACTTAAGAGATTTACCTGCCTCTGCTTCCTGGTTTTGTTGTTGTTTGGTTTGGTTTGTAGACTGTGTTTTACTGTGTTGTGTAGCCCCTGGGTTTTTTTGTTTGTTTGTTTTTTAAAGCAAATTTGGAGTTTGCTGAGAAACAAGTTGACTATAAATTTAATAAGGGATAAAGGGGTTGGTAGTGCAGGCTTCTTGAGCATCACCTGTTTGTTCTTCCTGGCATACCATTCTGCCTTGCTGTGCATAATGAAGACACATGATAAGAACCTACCAAGCAGATTACAAAACACGTGTCAGACACAGGGCTAGAGAGATTGCTTGCCAGGTAAGAGCACTTTTTGTTCAGTTCTCAGCACCCATGTGGTGGCTCACTACCATATTTCCAGTTCCGAGGATCTGACACCCTCTTCTGGGCACTAAGCGTGCACATGGCATGCAAACTACAGACACCACACTCATACACAAAATAAAATAAATATTTAAAAATTAAAAAAGAAACTAATTCTCTTTTCTTCTTTAACTAGGTTTTCCAAAAAGAACTGGGAAAGCGCACCGGCACTGTTCAGGTCCTGAAGCGGTCAGGCAGAGAGCTGATTGAGAACAGTAGGGACGACACAACCTGGGTAAAGGGGCAGCTCCAGGAACTGAGTACTCGCTGGGATACTGTGTGCAAACTCTCTGTTTCCAAGCAAAGCCGACTTGAGCAGGCCTTAAAACAGGTAAGATAAATTTGTAGGAGACCTGAGTATATGGGTCTTAGTTTCTTTACCGAGACAATGAAGTCCCACGGTCTTGGAACAAAAATAAAGTTGATATTCTGAACATTCTGTGGGACTTTGACCAGTCACTGAACTGTTTTTCAAAGGTCTACAAATTAAAGTGACCTTCTTGGCATTGGACAGGGCCATCAAATGCCTCTGGTAGAGTGTGATCTGGATACTTTTCCAGCATACTCTTGGTGTCTGGTATCTGGTGCCTCCGCCGCAGAGGGAATCCAGATCTTCTTGTGCTTGGTTGTTTCAGGCAGAAGAGTTTCGGGACACAGTCCATATGCTGTTGGAGTGGCTTTCTGAAGCAGAACAAACGCTTCGCTTTCGAGGTGCCCTTCCTGATGACACAGAGTCCCTACAGTCTCTCATTGACACTCACAAGGTAATCTAGCCTCAAGGTTTGATGAGCTGTGCTACTTGACCATGGTGAGAATTGCCCCACTACTAACAAAAAGCGGGACTTTCTTATAAATGTCAGACCTCATGAAAAGAAAAACCAGAGTGGGCTGTGTGTGTATGTACTCAGAGAAACCTGAAGCTTTGTGATGCCTGTCATCAGCATTCATTCATTTGTATACAACTCACTCATATTGGCTTTATATTTTTTAAGATTTATTTATTTTTATTTTATGTATATGGTTTTACCTACATGTATGTCTGTGCACCTTATGCATGCCTGGTGTGGAAGAGAACCAGATTAGATTCCCAAGAGCTGGAGTTACGGATAGTTGTGGGCTGCCATGGAGGTGCTGGGAACCACACCCCAGTCCTCTAGAAGCAGCAGTACTCTACCCGCTGAGTCTTCTCTCCAGCCCCTCACATTGGCTCTAAACAAGTAAAACCACACAGGGTTCTAAAAGGAAATGCAGAACATTTCCCTTTCTAAGTTTTGCTTGTTGGTTGGCTAGATTTTGAGATGGGGTCTTATTATGTACCATTGAATTCCTAAACAGCCTACCTCAACCTCCCAGGTGCTAGGATTACAGGTGTGTTATCGTACCCAACTCCATTTTACTTTTCACCTGTACATGCCTTTATCTGCCCTAGCTTATGTTACTAACTTTTTGGTCCTTATCTAATCTTCTAAAACCACTTAGCATGCTGCAGATAAAACATGGTCTCTGGGGCCTCAGTCAACTCTAATGAAGAAGGAAATGTTTCATGTTATCTATCTAGATATTTTAATTTTAGTTTTGTTGTCAAATTCTATTGTGGTAGGAATTTTTAAATATTAGGGCTTTACGGCTATCATCATTTTTCTAAAAAAATATACTTTAAATACAGAAATAAAAGGTCTGGAGAGATGTCTCAGCAGTTAAGAATACTTACTGCTTTCTCAGAGATTCTAACATCCACGTGGTGGCTCATAGCTGTCTTTAACTCCATTCCAGGAGATCCAATACCCTCTTCTGGTCTCTTCCAGTATCAGGCACACACATGGTGCACATACATACAGGCAAAATATTCATACACATAAAATGTGTTAATAAAATGGAAATGGGAACTGGAGCAGAGGGAACAGAGGTGCACCATTGTCCCTAGTCTTTGTGTCTTCTCTAACTGAGCATCATTCTTACCTCCTGCACTTGACCTGGATGCACCATGTTAATAACACCTGCATATAAACAGGCTTTTTCACAAACACACCTAACTGGTCATATGAGGGCTCCAATGACTGGTCAAAGTCCCACAGAATGTTCAGAATATCAACTTTATTTTTGTTCCAAGACCGTGGGACTTCATTGTCTCGGTTTAGTAGTCCCGTCATCATAACCATGTATGCAACCTACATTTTCACTCTGCCAGGTTGCCTCTCAACTGCTTACATTTTCCTTTGTCGGCCATTGCTTGTTCTTATTGCCTTTAGATTTCTGTGGTCTCCTGTAGCATTAGCTTCATCCCAGTGTTTTAACACTGTGGCTGCTCACAAGGAGTTACCCTGCAATTTCAAGGCCTGTGTTAACACAAAGGAAGAAGACAATGAAATGTTTCTTCTTTTACTACAAACTCATGGATGGTACTGATAGGTAGATTTGTCAAGTTTTTGGTTTTGCCTCGTGTTTATGTAGGAATTCATGAAGAAAGTAGAAGAAAAGCGGGTGGATGTGAACACAGCGGTGGCGATGGGAGAAGTTATCCTGGCTGTCTGCCATCCTGATTGCATCACAACCATCAAACACTGGATCACCATCATTCGAGCTCGCTTTGAGGAGGTGAGTCGGAGTCGCAGTGAGTCTATCAGATAAAGGCCCTTTTGAGTGGCTGGTACAATGAGGTGCTCGTCACTAGCTTCTGCAGACACCTTACGTTTTGCTTCCTTCCTTCCTGAGAAGTTTGTGCCGAATAGAATGTATTAGGTTTGCTTTGGCAGAAATGACTCCTTTTTCTACCTCTCAGCTTGAACTTTCTCAGCTGAAGTCAGAGAGGAATCTCTTGGTTCCTTAAGTTGGTCCCTCCTCTGAGTAAAAGCTGTATAGTCAGGCGGCTTTGAAACAAAAAGATGTGCTTTTCTGAAAGAGGTCATGTTTTCTTTCTCTCTCTACAGGTCCTGACATGGGCAAAACAACACCAGCAACGCCTGGAAGCAGCTCTGTCAGAACTGGTGGCTAATGCTGAGCTCCTGGAAGAACTCTTAGCCTGGATCCAGTGGGCTGAGACCACCCTAATCCAGCGGGATCAGGAGCCTATCCCTCAGAATATAGACCGAGTTAAAGCTCTTATCACTGAGCATCAGGTATCTTGTTCTCTGTGTCTTCTGTGTGTTGTGGACCATATTCCCTCCTTACTGTATCTATCACTACAGACTTAGCAACTTGCATCAACTCTGTTTATAAGTTTCCATGCGTTAGGAGTCAAGGCGTGGGTTAGCATCTTAGGGTTTCATCAGGCAGAAATCACGATTTCCTCAATATTGAGGTGTTGTGCTTTGAGATACTGCTCTAGTCAATAGTTTTGCAGTTCTCATATGGAGGTCTCATGGATCCTCTGCCATGTTCATTTGTTTTCTTGACAGTTCAGTTCCTTGTATTTGTAGGATTGAAGACTCTATTTTCAGCTGGGCGGTGTGGCACATACCTTTAATCCCAGCACTCGGGAGGCAGAGGCAGGCAGATCTCTGTGAGTTCAAGGCCAGCCTGGGCTACAGAGAGAATACCAGTACAGGCTCCAAAGCTACAGAGAGAAACCTGTCTCAAAAAAACAAAAAAGAAATTAAAAAAAAAAAAAGACTCCATTTTTTTGCTGGCTCCAGCTGTTCCTGGAGACCACTGAGGTCATTTCATATATATACATATACATGTACATGTATACATATATACATATATATACATACTAGCAGAAACAGTTTAGAGTTTTCTTTTGAAGGTGAAGTGTGCCTCATGGAGTATCCACTCCCAGTTTCACAGGCATTGCATGGGACAGTTCACCAGAAGTGGAGATCTGAGAGCCCAGCTTAGAAGCCCGGCCTTTGTTGGCCTGACAACATTTTATCACAGAGATAGGAAAAGTAAATAATAGAATTTCCTAGCCAATCTCCTGTCACTCTGCCTTCTGTACTAAAGGAAGAAGAATTTCTCTCAAGCGTAGATCAGATCATGATAAATCCTTCACTTGCCCCCTGTTTGGTCTCGAGAAAAATCCTAATTCCATAGCTGAACATGGGCCTTTTTGGATCTCCTGCCTACCTCTCCAGCCCCACTTCTTGCTAATCCTTTGATTGTACCTCTCGCCACTAAATGAAATGAAGAGTCCTGATCCACAGTACTGTCAGGCTTCTTTGTCTGTCCAGACCGTCTGTCAGAACTGCCCTCTGTTCCTCAGCAGCTCAGTCCCAGGCCACTCTGTTTGTCACTTACTCAGGTCTTCTCTGCATATCTGTGTAACATTTAGCATTAACTTCTTGGTTTTCATCACTCGGCTGTGAGTTCATTGAAGGCAGAGGCCATCTCTTCTCTTCCTACTTCAGTCCTCAGTCCTAATCAAGTGCTTTGGTCAGTCCTTCTCAATATGTATCTGTCTGTCCCTCTCTTCTTTCTTTCTGTGTGTAGTGTGTTTCAGTCTAGGGCCTTATATACGTTGAGCAAATACTTTACCATTGAGTTATACTCCCGGCCCAATTTAGTCTTTTGTTAAGGGGTAAGAAGTTACACAAGGCTGTCTGCCACTTGGGCAATCTACCATAGGTTGGCCTTTGTTAGTAAAGACTTTCCATTTTAGATCAAAAAACTCTGAATTTTCTTAACTAATTTCTTATATTTATCAGTCATTTATGGAGGAGATGACACGCAAACAACCTGATGTGGACCGGGTCACCAAGACATATAAGAGGAAGAATGCAGAACCTGCCCATGCTCCTTTCATCGAGAAGCCCCGCAGTGGTAGCAGTATGTTTCCAGCCCACTAGTTTAGGTTGCTTCCTTCTGCTAATCGCAGATGGGGCTTCACAGTGCCATCGCGAGAGCTGTGTTCATATTGACTCTAGACAATAATCTCTCATTTTGAAACTTTACTTTTCTAACAGTGACTAGTTACACTTTATTTGTTTTATTTATTTTTATTGATTAATAAGAAGCTTCGAAGTGGTGAAGCCTGTTCTATTATTTTAACAGTGGCCTTTCATTGTTGTGTTTCCATTGCACTGGTCTAATTGTAAATAAGCCCTTATGGAATCCGCTGCTGTTTTCTGAGTTGATGTGTCCTCAGGTCTCTAAAGTAAAGCCTAATCAACTGGGTGTGTAGGGGTGGGTACTCTTTGCTGGTGTAGAGGAGAGCAGTGGTTCTGGAATTAGTATGCCTCTGTACCATGTTTCTTCTTGGTTATGAAGTAGATATTAGTGTAAAACATTAATTCATATATACAGTACTTTCTTGTCTTGATTTTTGAGGCAGTGTTTCCTATATCCCAAAGCTAGCCTCAAACTTGATATATAGCCACGCATACAGCTGTTTCTTTATGGACTGGCAAAGGCAGTATTTCTAATCTTGTGATTATTTTTCCACTTAGGAAAGTCCTTGAGTCAACCCACACCTCCTCCCATGCCAATCCTTTCACAGTCTGAAGCAAAAAACCCACGAATCAACCAGCTCTCTGCCCGCTGGCAGCAAGTATGGCTGTTAGCACTGGAGCGCCAGCGGAAGCTGAATGATGCCTTGGACAGACTAGAGGAGGTAAGCACTGTCCTGTAGAGCTCTCTCTGTGCCTTTATCTACTTCTCAGAAGTAAAGTCAGCCCTTCACTCACTTGCTCCCCTTCTTCAAGCTCCTGAATAAGAAGAGATCGGTTTTTTAAGAAAACCATTCAAACAAAAGAAATCTGTGCCATATGGAATAAAACTATAAATCAGACCTTCCATACAAGAGGGGGCTCTGCGGTCTGAGTTTCCTCAGCAGCTTGCTATAATTCAATTTCAGAAACAAAGCTTCCAAGGTTGTTTCTAAATGTGTAGTTTGTATAAAAGGGGAGCTAGGCATGGTGGCACATGCTTGTAATCCTAGCACTTAGGCAGAGACAAGTGGATCTCTGAGTTTGTGGTCACCCTGGTCTACAAATGAGTTCTAGAATAGTCAGGGCTACACACGAAAACTCTGACTCGGGAAACTCCCCCCCCCCCCAAAAAAAAAGCCTTGTTAGTGATGCTGTCATCGTGTCGTGGGAAGGAAGGAAGGTAGAAAGGTAGGTAGGTATTCCACAGCTATGAAAGAAGAACAACTTTTTATAATCTTGTTTCTTGTTAGTCTTAGAATAGATCAGGAAAAGCAAGTCAGTTCTGAACTCTCATCTAAGATACATGGTACTGCACTTCCTCCTTCTAACACAAGCATCTAATATCTTTTATATTCTTTTGTTTGTGCATATCAAAGCAGCTATGCCCAGAAGTGAGTGTTCTGTGTTTTGTTGTTGTTGTTACTTCCGTAGGTCAGTTGCATTTTAAGCACATTGGTTGCCGCCTCCTCCTTTCCCCATTCCTTCTAACTTTTAGTTTGAAAGACCAAAGGGGAAAATGTTGTGCTGTTAAGTCATTCTGTGAATCACTAACATGGTACAAGTAGCTAAAAAAAAAAAAAACCTGCCCTATATTCATACAGGCCTGCTTTCCACCAATCCAACTATTTAGTAGAGATGTTGTGTGGGCATTTGCTCCCTCTGGTGAGATTCCAAAGAAACATGCTTGGATGTAGGGTTGCATTCTTAATGCTTTCCATCTCGATCTGTAAGATCTCAGAAAATGATGGGAAACATGAGCCTCTTGATGTGGTTCCTATGTGTGTTTATAGTGCCTTCCCATGCAGCCTAAGAGAGGGGTGCTGAGGCTTTCCCTTCAAGACAGAATCCATCCCTTACATCTAAGTAGATGATCTTGGAACAGTCCCAAGAGAAAGCAAGACTGACTCTCCCAATTCTTGTTCTGCGTGCTCCTTATTTTCCAAAGCTGTTTTGCAGTTATTCTTTTTGCTGCTCCACCATTATATCACAGCTTGTTTAAATAACCGAGGCTTTGAGTGAAGGAGGCAGATTGTGCTTCCACCAGTGAGTGTAGATAGCATTGTTGGTGTCCCCTGGAAGGCCTGCATGGCTTTACTGAATGTCTGAGAATTTAGACATGCTCTGGGTTCAGAATAGCAAGACTTACTGATATCTCTGACTTTCACCTAGTTAAAGGAATTTGCCAACTTTGACTTTGATGTCTGGAGGAAAAAGTATATGCGTTGGATGAATCACAAAAAATCTCGAGTCATGGATTTCTTCCGGCGTATTGACAAGGACCAGGATGGGAAGATAACGCGTCAGGAGTTCATCGATGGCATTTTAGCATCCAGTAAGTGGATTTTCATTCTACACACAGGTCACATCTAGATCCCTCACACTTGGTAGAAGTTGTAACATTGTGGTAAATTGGTATTTCTTAACTATAGTTTGAGGGAAGAAGCTCTCTGCTGAGTGTGACCTGTTGTTTCATGAACAGAAGAATCTCATTTCAGTAGGAATAGAAAGAGTTCAAACATGATTGTGAAGTTTAAACAGGACAGGATGCTATTCCAAAGCAACACTATTTTAGAGTAACGACATCGTTTTAAGCATCCAACAGGGCTGACATAAGTAAATCTTAAGATGAGTGATAATTCTATGGATGGTTGTAACATTGTTTTAGTTTATATTTTTTTTTTACTATATCTAAAGTCTGATACTACTTTTTGTTTTTAAAATGGGGAAGGCCTCTGGAAATATCATTCTTATTAAAGTGCTTATGTAGCTTGTATGAAGCCATAGATCCTATCCTCAGACCCCATAAACTGGTCATGCTTGTCTATATCTCTGATCCCAGCACTTTGGAAGTATTGGCAGGGATGATCAGAAGTTTAATGGCCAGTCTGGGTTATATGAAACCCTGTCTCAAAAAACAAAACATACAAAAAAGGTGAGGGGTCTGTAGGTAAAAACATTAAAAAATCAGCAATGACTAATCCTTGGGTGATACATTTTTTAAAATTATTTGTATCTTTTTTTAAAATTAGATTTATTCACTTTATGTTATGTGTGAGTTTTTTGCCTGTATGTACACAAGCTTGGTGCCCTTGGAAGTCAGAGGAGGGCATCAGATCTCTGGATCTGTGGTTGGAGATGGCTGTGAACCACCATGTGGGTGCTGGTAATTGAACCTGGGCCCTCTACAAGAGCAACAGTACTCTTAAAGCTGAGCCAATGATTTGTATCTTTAAAATTTGTGTCTCCTGAATTTTCTAGAGTAGATATGTGGTGGTTTTGTTGTTGCCTAGGAAAAGATCAAGATATAATTCTTTTTCTTCAGGTACTTATATAATTGCCAACCAGCCACATACGTTTCAGTGTTTCAAATCATGGTTTCTTTTCCCCAGAGTTTCCTACCACCAAGTTAGAGATGACAGCTGTGGCTGACATTTTTGACAGAGATGGGGATGGCTACATTGACTACTATGAATTTGTGGCTGCCCTACATCCCAATAAGGATGCCTATCGACCAACAACTGATGCAGATAAAATTGAAGATGAGGTATGGACAATTGGAGTAGAGTATTTTGACCATAGGTTTATATTGCCCTGAATTTGGATGTGTGAATCATTTTGGGAAGCAATCATTTAGAGTTAGTGTTTCAGCAAACTCTAGAAGGCCTTTGACGACTGAGTTCTAGCTTGGTCTAAGGATGGCTCCAACCCTAATACTCACGTCTGTAATTCTATAAGGTTCCGTAGGGGGACTTCTAAGGGATCAGGTGGTCTTCAAATGCAGCAATAAGGGGTGAACTGTATCATGGCTGTGTCGATGGCTCAATGGGGAAAAGAACTTGCCATGACCTGATTCAGTCTCTGGAACCACATTAATGTGGAAAGAGACTGATCCCTGGAAATTTCTATGTAGAAATTTTGTTCAGTTCATGATTTACTTTATTGGTCATTTGATTTTGATGGGTCCATATTAACACTTTTCTTCTAAAGAATTTTGAAGCAATGATGAAGAATATTTCTTTCATCTGGTGTTTTTTTCTCAGTATCTCTTATCTCAAGAAGGGTTAAATTTTGAGTAAAAGATAACACATGTATTAACAGCCTAAGATGAACCAGGCAGAGGCCTTTAATCGCAGCAACTAGGAGACAAAGGCAGACAAGATCTCTCTGAGTTGGGGAGCAGGGTAGTTTGCGTAGCAAGTTCTAGGATCGCCTGGACTTCAGAGTGAGATCCTGTTTCCAAAGGCAAAAGGCAAAACTCTTTAAAAATAATAATAATAATAACAACAACAACAATAATAACAAGTAGCTTCGCTGTTTACATTTAAAACAGAAAGTCATTCTCTGCCTTTACACCATTTTGCTGTTCACAACCAACAGGTCACAAGACAAGTGGCACAGTGCAAGTGTGCAAAAAGATTTCAGGTGGAGCAGATTGGAGAGAATAAATACCGGGTAAGGAAGGGAAAACAAACCCACCATCTGTGGAGGCCATTTCCTCCTGTGTCATCCTGCCTTTTCACTCCTGATGCCTCCAGAGGCCTGGAACCCATGGGCACTCATTCATAGGTGTCTGGTTTCATGCCCTGTGTAATTTCATCTGAAAAGTTACGATTTTCCAGGGAGACCGTAGTTTCTATTTGACAAGATAGAAAACATTTAGCCGGGCGGTGGTAGCGCACACTTTTAACCCCAGCACTTGAGAGGCAGAGATAGGAGGATCTCTGTGAGTTCAAGGCCCGCCTGCTCTACAAGTGTTAGTTCCAGGACAGGCTCCAAAACTACAGAGAAACCCTGTCTTGAAAAAACGAAAGAAAAAAAAGAAAAATTAATATTTTAGAGTTCTCATTCTCACTGCTGACCTAGGTCTTCAGGGGAGTGAGGATAAGGGAGCTTGGGAAACAGTTTTATCAAGGCTCATGAAGCAGAGCCTGGTAATCTGCCTGTAACCACACAAGTTGGGAGGCAAAGGCAGAAAGATTATTGTAAATTCAAGGTCAACTCTACATAGTAAGTTCCAGCTTCCCACATCTATATCACAAAAATATCTCAAATTTTTTTTTTAAGTAGGGATGAGGGACTGGAGATGGTTCAGCATGTAAAGGTACTTGCCACCAAGACTAACAACCTGAGTTCAAGTCCTAGGATCCACATGGTAAAAGGAGAAACATACACCCAAAAAAATGTCCTCTGGTGTATGCACATACAAATTTTCCTTTGTTCTAATTTTTTCACTTAAAAAAAAAAAGAATGAGTTTTATCCCCAAGAACTGGTCATTGCAAACATAAGTGCTCCCACACTTCTGGAAAATGATGTGCCAAGGCCCCAGCACATTAGTGTTCCTGTGCTGAGCTGGGCTACAGCCGTGACCCACATGCACTGAGGAGCCAGTCTCCTTCTCTGGAAAAACTTGTTAGGTGTGGCCAGAGAAACAGTAAAATATACTTGTGTCTTAGCCTCTCTTGGGTCTAGAGTCAGGGGTGTAGTAGAGACCTAAACCAGGTCTCCTTACCTGTTCATCAACTTGTCAAGGAGCCCTAAAATTTCAAGAAAAAAAAAATCTATAGTTAGCAGAGAAGACTTAGATGGCCGTCTCCAGCTGAGAACACAGGGACAGCCAGGCTCCATAGGAACTCAGCTGTCCTCAGAGGCCAAAGCTGTAGCTCAGTAGGAAAGTGCTTGCACAGCATATACAAAACCCTGGGCTCCCCTGCCACAGCTGGGGTTGGGATGCCCTGAGTGCACCTGAAGAGGGCAGGTAGCTCTGCCTCTTACCCAGCCCAGAGCACTTAGTAAGCTCTATCTTAAATCTTGGGTTTTGTTTTCTTGTGTTTATTTTTGTTGTTGTTTTGTTTGGAGTTACTTTGTTTGTTTAATTACCAATGAGTAAAATGGATTGACAAAAGAAACACAAGGTGGAGAGTTCAGGCTTTAGTTGTAAAATCTTCCCCATGTCGATGCTCAGTAACAATGTCATCAGTGTGTACTTAGGTTGGTAATATGATAAAATTGCTGTGTCTTAGTGTTAACTTGACCAAAATGTTCTCTTTTTTCCCCTGCATCCTTTACTCTTACTGTCTATAGTTCTTCCTCGGCAATCAGGTACAGTGTGCCTTGCAATATCCTTCTCGGTGGATGTGGTCTTTGTATGGGGAAAGGTCATAATCTTCTGGAAGCATGCCTGGGTCACATCTGGTTATCTTACCAAGTGGAGAAACTGCTAGCAAAGCTATTATCACAGAGCTGTCTTATCAGCAAAAAGATACAATTTTATATTTTTTAAAAAAATAAATTTTGCCATTCCAAATTAGGCTGGCTAAAAACAATGATATTGTGCTGCACTGAGTTACTACTATGACTCAGGAAAATCAAGGCTCTGATAGCATCCATTCCACCTGTAAAGAGCCTGGACTTACACTTCTGTATTTGGGGTTATTGGCATAGTTCTGATTCATTGCCAGTCTTTTAATACAAATTTTCTAATGTATACTTGAGTGAAAAAGTTCTGAGGGTATCTTAGTATTATCTAAGTACTAACTTAATAGTTACAGGTCTTTATATTTACATTTTAAAATACAAATTATAATTTATAATGTGGAAAACGTAGTTGACTTCTGCCTGGAATTTGCAGATTATAGCCAACTATCCAAAATGAAATGAGTTCAAATTAGATTTTCACAAAGTATTGAAAGTCTTGACTCCACTTGGCAACTCTAACCTCTGAGATTTCTTTTGAGGATTCTTGGGTGCTGTCTCTCAAATGTGGAAGGAAGTTGCATGAATGAAATCTATCTGACAGGAAGTTAGAAACACTAAGAGTTAAATTGAAGTCCTAAATCACTGTTAAATAAATTACTACAATAATCACTAGCTACAGTAATATTCTGGGCCAGTGGGAAGAACAAAGACTAGAAAAATATAAGATTGAGAACAGTCAAGTTGGTTTTAAGTAAATCCTCATGAGCTGGGCATAATGTCTTCCTTATAACTGTAATCCTAGCTCCTTGGAAGGCAAGTTTGAAGCTAGCTTTAGAAAGTCCCTGTTTCAAATTTTGAAAATAAAAATAGAAAACTAATAGTGTATCTCAGTGATAGAACATTGCCTTATACATCCTTAGAGTCTGTCCCCAATGCTACAACTAGTTAATAATAATTACAGTCAAGCACCCAGCATGCCTGCTTCTGATGATTGCACCTATTAGGTAGGGTCCCTTTGATGGCACACTGACACCCTACTCTACTACTTCATTAACCTGGGGAGGATTTGGTGAATCGCTCTAATATTGTGAGCAGAATTATGAAGTCCGTTTTATACATGTACTGGAGGCCTCAAAGGTTGCATGCCACGCTCACACAGCTGATATCATAAGAACTTACTTCCCAGTGAGAGAAGGAAACAGTGACTGGCAAGATTCTTCCTGAGTTCTCTGTGGCTCTTCCCCAGCCTTGTTCTGCAGGCCTCTAGAAGCTATATAGCCCCCCCCCCCCCCCGGAGTGTTTAGTAATTCTAACAAATTAGAATCTTTCCAACAGCTTTGGGGAGATACTAAGGAAAAGCAACCCTGAGGTCAGTGGGTAACAACCTGGAGGGTTTAGTATTTCCAGACCACCCCTTCCCTTTGACTCCGGGAGCCACACAGGTGCACATCCTTTCTAGTCCTCACTTATTCAGAGAAAATCCAAAATAGTGGCTCAGGTTACTAATGGCACATCAGGCCTGTTCCCTCAAAGGTAGGGAATAGCTTCCCTTCCAGAAAGGGTCTTTTTCCTCACAGCCGTGAGAAGTGCTGATTCTGCTCCACTGTGCTGTCCCTCGGACCACTTTGTGTAAACATTTAAGCGCTGTGTGACACAAATGCTATAAGCATTTGTTTTTGGAGTAAATGGCTGAGGAGGGAAGAGAAAGCATTTTCCAAACTTCTTCCTGTGTACATAGTGCACCTGAGCCAGAGCAATGCAGAGATAACCAATAGCCACTGTTTATTATTACCGAGGAGGATGGCTGTGTATGCTCCTCAAACATCCTTTCTTGCAATTTCAGTTTTTCTCCCTGTTTCAAAGTTATGATTCTTCTATAACTTTGAAAATCCTAGTTAAGAGGTTAAGTCCTTCTTTTTACTTACCTGCCCCAAACAGTCTCCTTAATAGCCTTAGGAATTCTATTTCTTTGACTTTTGGTCTGGTGTTTGTTTTGAAATCTTGGTATGCTTCTTCTTCTTCTTCTTCTTTTTTTTTTTTTTTTTGTTGTTGTTGCTTCATTTTGGGAAAAGGTGGTTTGTACACTGGGAATCTCCAAATATTAAGGTAGAACTGGGAAGTAGGAAATTAGGAGTGGAGACAATAAAAAGCCCATCTTACTTTTTTCTAAGGTCCAGAATGATTATTGAACACTGTTTCTAATCATGATAAGAGATTAAAATTTCTGTTTCTTCAACTAAATTTTAATTCCATCTAATCATTTATTCAGCTTGAAAACTTTTTTTCCTGGTGACATCACAATCAGAGTTCATATAGAGTTTGCTTCTGAGAACCGGATGAACAGAAACCAAACTTCTTCCTAAGCTTGTAATGAGGATGCTTTGCAAGAGTCTTTTTAATGCTTGACTTAGTATTTGCTGCCATCCATTTAACTTTCCAGCACACTGTATTCAGAAGTTGATCCCCATTCTTTAAAGAAATAAACATAACAGTGTGGGGTGCTCCCTTTGGCAGAACCCTCAGAGGAATCCAAGTGAGCAAATGCATGTCCTTCTTGCCTCCTTTACCTGTGGTACAGGAGTCAGGATGTAGCCATCAGGAGCTAATTTTATCCCAGTGGAAGGATATCATGACAGTGGCTCATAGTCTTTCTGCTTTTCTGTTTGCTGACCTTTTTCTGACAATGTAAAAATGCAAAATTGAGTTCTAAATTCTTCCCCAACTGCCATATCATTCCTGTCTGAATACAGTCTGCTTTGGGAGTGTGGGGGGAATATAAGTCTACACTAAGGTGTTCCTGTTAACTGAATTTCCTCTTGATTCCAGTTTGGGGATTCTCAGCAGTTGCGGCTGGTCCGTATTCTGCGCAGCACTGTGATGGTTCGTGTTGGTGGAGGATGGATGGCCTTGGATGAGTTCTTAGTGAAAAACGATCCCTGCCGAGGTAAGAAAGCACCCCACATTACATGGAAGGATGTATGATCAACCCACACTGATTTTCTGGGAAGCATTGATGGTGGGTCTTTTTGATTTTTGTCTTGTTATTAAGGTATCTGATATTGTATCATCCAGCCCAGATTAGAACCCGGAGTTTCAGGTAGAAAAACCTGAAGAAGCTAAAGCTGTCAGGAAAGAACACAGGAATGAAAATTAAGAATTTGTTGGTATCCAAGCTTTCATATTTGTGAGATGGAGGCAGGAGATAAAGTGTTGAAAGTCATCCTCAGGTTCATAGCAAGTTCAAAGCCAGCCTGAGTTAGAATGAAACTGTGTCTCCAAAACAGAAAAAGAATCTATTGGTTTTACCTATTTATGTGTGGTGTGACATTAACACTAACCTAGAGGGAAGCCTTGTGTACTTTCGGGTCCTTAAAGCCTCTGATCCTCTAGTCTGTAATTCCTGTGACTGAGACTCAGAACCCCTCCCATGCAGAGGACTGGTGACCATCCTTAATGGGGGAAGGAAGCTAAAGGACATATGCCTGCAGCCCCACAGACAGTTGCCTAAACAAGACAGGAAAAGACAACCACCCCCAGGCAAAAGAAAATGGGAGCTTAGCTTCAGCAGGTGGTAGTCACAGCTGCAGCAAGGGGACAAATGGCCAGATCCCAGCTGCTGCATCCTGCCCAGCCACGACCTCTCCTTTTTCCTGTTAGAACTGCATGTGGGTACACAGGAGACCCAGCTCTCTGTCTTCCTTGACTGGTTTCTGTGTTTCCTGCTCTGTCTCTGTCTTTGTGTTTACATCTTTTTTATTCCAGTTCATCATCCCGGGAGTAAAATAAAGCGTTCTGATTCCAGCTCTTCGATTTCCAGTCAGTCTCCCATAGGTTGGCTTTTATGCTTTGTCCCTCTTCACCTGTCCTTTGAGAATGGCTTTGCTTCCAAAACTGTAACATCTCTTGGCTCTCTGATATCCGCTGCCTTGGCTATCTCTAATGAGATGGTATCCACAGAATTTAATACTATTTACTAAATACCTCTATATTAAGAATAAGAAAATAAAAATAAATAAATACCTCTACATAAGTACTTTACAAATAAAAATACAACTGCATCTCATATTCATCCTATGAGGTATAGATTCTGTTATCTCCATTTTATAGAGTAGGAGCTTGAGGTATGGAAATTTTAAGTAACATAAGGGCCAGCCAGGCTTTTGAGCGGTGGTCCTGACCACCACCCTATTCTCTTGCATGTCCCCTGTGTGTGTAGTTGGTCCAGCCTGTGCAATTAGGTTATTAAAGCTTATTCATAAACTAAGCAAAAATAAATGTTTGCAGTACAGTTACATAACTTCTTTGAAAGAAGTTTTTAATCATTCTGAAAGATTTAGAGAAACCTATAGGGTATGGTTCTCATATGAGTATATGAGTATCTATAAATTTCTTCTCTTTAATTCATTCTGCATTTACTCCAGCAAGCCAGAATAATAGCTGAGGAGTAAATGATTGCTCAGAAGTTTTTAAATTTGAGTTTTATTTAGTTTTAGTATTTAATTTTATCATGAACCAGTGTCCTTGATTTAAGAATCTTTTCACTGCTTTAAATGAGGAACAACATACGCATCTTTTTAACCTCATCGCTGTACAAACAACAAAACAGTGTTCTCTAAATCTACCATGTTCCCATTTTTCCAATCATATAAAAAGTTAGGCTAAGCAACAGCAGCGTTGCATGTGGCGTTTATAACCCTTGGTTGCCTGTTTGCTGCCTGCTCTGTTCACAAGCTGCTGGCTGGAAGAATACTGCCTGCTTTATCTTCCTCAGTAAAAATCGGAAACCCAAGGACATTTGGGAGGGCAGTCTAGTAGCTATTTTCTGTGGGAACTGGTGGCCCTCTTCATCTTTCAGAGCAAAGGTAAGACACTCCAGGTCCCCAAGAATACAACCTTGGGCTGGAGAGATGGCTCAGAGGTTAAGAGCATTGCCTGCTCTTCCAAAGGTACTGAGTTCAATTCCCAGAAACCACATGGTGGCTCACAACCATCTGTAATGGGGTCCGGTGCCCTCTTCTGGCCTGCAGGTATATACACAGACAGAATATTGTATACAAAATAAATAAATAAATAAATAAATAAATAAATAAATAAATAAATAAATAAAATTTTAAAAAAAGAGTACCACCTTGCAGCTTGGCGATCAACTTCTGTCCATTGACTGAAATAGAACTTACCGGCAGCTTTTAGTAGCTGCCATCAGTGGGCAAAATCTTGTTCTGTCAGAACAGTGCTAGAAGTCAACGCCCAAGGGCTAGAGAGCCTGGCAGGAAGCTAGAGGTACAGGAACATCAAGACGACTAGTTACTTGCTGGGCTGGTAGTATCTACTGTAATTCCGGCTGTTTAAGGCAGAAGCAGAAGGATCAAGAATGGTAGCCTGAGCTACATAGTAAGACCCTTCATCAAAAAATAGACAGTGGATAAGGACTTATCCGGGGCTTCTGTAGGGCCAACTGCTGTTGTACTCTTTGTGCCTGTGAACTATAGAAGATAACATACTGAGGACATCATAGAATTAGTGACAAGATTATTAATCCCAAATCTTTTGTTACTTCTTTTACATAGCTACTGAAATGATAAACAGTCTCAAAGCATGTGTTGGTTTAGCCAAATTTAAAAAAATAATCATATTCCACTAAAGATGGGTTTGCTGTTTATACAGTTTTCTGATACTGCCATAGTGGGTCTTGTTTGTTTTTGTGCAAAGATCATACATAATGCTTTGGGTGAAGATAAAAGCGGTGCTTCTAGGTCTAGTGAGATGAGATGGCTCAGCAGATAAAGGCACTTGATGCCAAGCTTGATGACTGGACCCACATAGTGGAAGGAGAAAACTGGCCCTGAAGTATTCCTTCCACTTATACACGCACACTGTGCCATTTCTGCTTTTAAAAACTGGTACACCTGTGCCTATTGTACTGCGTATGTTTTAAAGGGTTAGCTGTTACTTCCCTCGGGTAGTAAAGATCTAGAAATCATTTATGGAGATTTTAAAAGGTGGTTTTCAGGACTGGAGAAATGACTGGGTCAGCAGTTAAAAGCATATAATGCCCTTTTAGAGGATCAGAGTTCAGTTCCCACCCACATTAGGAGACTTACAACTGCCTATAAGTCAAGCTCCAGAGGATCTAATGCCCTCTTCTGTCTTATGTGAGCACCTGCATTCATGTGCACATAGACCTCTCTCTCTCTCTCTCTCTCTCTCTCTCTCTCTCTCACACACACACACACACACACACACACATTAAAAAGTAAAAATAAGGAGCTAGAGATCCAGCTCTGCAGCTGGAGTTAACTCTTACAGAGGACACAGCGGTTTTGGTTCCCAGAACTCATCTGATGGCTCACAGCCATCCGTCACTGTTTCTAGGAGATTCCCCTCCTCTGACCTCCACAGTCATTAGGCACACATGGTGGTACCTATACGTATATGCAGACAAGCCACTTGTACTCAACCTAAAAATACTTGGCTTAGAACTTTGTGTGTGGGTGTGCATACATGTGCAACTGTGCGCCCGTTGAACCAGAGTTGAATTAGGGTTACTAGAGGAGCATAGACAACAAGTGGTTATACCTCTGAAAATGTCTCTCCCTCCCCCAGCAAAGCTACTTGTATAAATTTATCCTTAGGAAGTGTCAGAATATGTACAAAAATATTTTAGAAGCTGTATTTTTAAAACTATTAACAAATCAGAAATGCAACATTTAACCAGTGAAGTGAAATATATGATGGAATTATACCTTGAAGTTACTTGGAATTTAACATGAGAGACACAGGAAATGGAGGTATGGTCCTGATATTTTTGTATTAAAAGTATGTATACAGTTGCTCAGAGAAATGAAGATATGCCAGTATGTTAATCATAATGTGCCTGCTATAGGTTGTAAGAATGAGCAACTTTTGTTCTTGTCAGAGGAAGGGTGCAGGTGTGCTAAAGCTTGTAAAAACCAAGGCTGGCATTGGGATATCTCACTAAACCCGGAGCTTGCTGTTTGGACTAGGCTGACTACCCAGTGAGCTCCCAGGATCTGCTTACCTCCTCTCCCAAGCTCTGGAGTTACAGATGCACACCTCCATACCTGGTGTTTACATGGCTTCTGGAGCTCCAAGAGGTCTGGTTATGAAGTAGACCTTTACCCAGCAAATGCCATGGAGATAAGCTGATGTGAGTGATGCCTTAAAGAGAATGGCCAGTAATGGCTTGGAGGCAGGGTAAACAAACAGGCTACCTCTGCTGTGATTTGACCAGTGTTTGTAGGCATTTCCATTCCTTTGTCTAGTGAGATAAAGATGCTTCTGAAAATCAAGTGTAGTATTGCATGTGGTAATACTGTATAAATTGTAGCGTGGGGAGGAATATAATCTTATCACTCCATTACTATAGATTGTCCTCTTTATTGTTTGCTTGTTGAGATGGAATTTTGCTCCATTTGCCTAGGCTAGTCTCAAACTCATGGGCTGAAACATCTTCCCTGCCTCTGTCTATGAAGTAGCTCGTTCATGCTACCACCTGCCTATTGCCTTTTCTAAAAACATTTTAAATTTGGCTGTCCCCGACTAGTTACTGTTCCCAAGGCTTCCTCTTATATCCTCTGATGTTTTTTTCTTCCCTCAGATAGCATGTTTACTCAATTAGGACTCCTCTACTGTCTGCCAAATAGGTGTAATATAGTCTTAAAATGAACCGTCTAGAGTAGACAAGCAGGTCCAGGGTTACTGCAGGGCATTGTCCAGTGAGAAATCAAAGGATCTTTTCCAGAGGAAGTATTTCTTTTAAATTAGCGGTGTTTTTAACACCAACATTTGTTCTGACTGTACTTGATAGCTCTGACTGCATCTGTATTTGAAGTTCTGGTCTCAGCTCCAGAAGACCCCGAGGTAGCGGCGGTCAGCCTCCGCTGCTGTTCCCGAGTCTCCTGCTGCAGTTGCTCTTCCAGCTTCCTGCTGCTCTCAGCTTTTTACCTAACGGATTCTCACCCGCAGTTTTGTGCACGGTCTTGGTCTTTCTCTCTCCTTACATGTTTATTTCTTAAAGAATCTGTCCTCATCTTTACTGTCCTGGCTTCCTGGACTCCTTTCATTAGGATTATTATTGACAGAATTCAAATGGAAGAGTCCTGATGCCACTTTTCTCCACTACATCATTACTGTATATCCTGCAAAAATTCAGCAAAAAGTACACATGTCTATGAGAGAGAAAACGAGTTTGATTAAGGTCTGAGGCTTGTGTTCTGTTGCATCTGTGTCTCCTGGGCAGCTACAGTTTGCTTACCCCAGGAGACAGCAGCGAAGCCAGATGATGACAGCAGAGTGGGTGGTCCTCTGTGGATAGGCTTGCTTGTTAGAGCAAGCTACGATCTTAGCCCGTGTATCTGCTGTGGGTCAGAACATGACAAAGCTGTTTTTAAAGAATCCATAGGTGGTATAAAACCTATGCATACCCTACTGTTATCATGGGGTCAAGCAACTGTATGACTATCCGAGATACATTTTTAAGATAATTGACTATATGCATGTATGTGTGTTTGTTTTCTTTTTAGCACGAGGCAGAACTAACATAGAGCTTCGAGAAAAATTCATCCTGCCAGAAGGGGCATCCCAGGGAATGACTCCATTCCGATCACGGGGTCGAAGGTCCAAGCCATCTTCCCGAGCAGCTTCTCCCACTCGCTCCAGCTCAAGTGCTAGTCAGAGTAATCACAGCTGTACGTCCATGCCTTCTTCTCCAGCCACCCCAGCCAGCGGAACCAAGGTGTGTGCTGACCTCCTTTGTGCTGTCCTTTCCCATTCCTATCTTGGTAGATGTTCATTGATGGGCAGCCCCTGAGAAGACTAGCAAGGAAAAGAACATAGCAACTCTGCCCAAACCCCCACAGCGCACAGAACATTATAAAATGCATATTCAGGCTGGTTATATCAGAAACATTTTCCCAGAGTTAGGTCACTGGTTTGGAAAGTCTAGGTACTGTCTGAGCAGCTGGAGCTGACAGATGAGCTTGTTGGTACAGCGAGGTGCAGGTGAAGAGTACCTTTCTACTGCTCCATCTCGGCCCATTGGACTTCCGTGTGTTTTATTTGTTTCTGTTTCTTTAAAATTTAGTGTTGTCATCCCCCTCCCCCAATTTACTCCCTTTTCTGTTCGATTTTTCAATTGTTCCCGCCCTTCCCTTTGGATTTCCATCCCACAGACTCCACTTCAGGTCTCTCGCTGTTATGACAAACCCTGGCTGGTAAACAGTAAAGCTGGCACCCATGTCAGGGACAGCCACTGTCCTGACCTCCAGCTCCTCAGCCCTGAGGTAGAGTATGGCTTTGCTGAGTGGGACACGGTCATGAAGAGGCCCTCACTCATGCCAAGAACCAGCCCAGCTCTTTTTCCTGACATGAGGCCAAAGTCTCTTCCATCTTTGGGGTGCTTGCTGACACAGCTGATTGATCAAGTTGGCCAAGTGTTTTCAGGAGTTTCTAACTCGGATTCACCAAAATTGGAGATGAGTAAGAGATGCCTAAAACAAGATTGCTTAGCAGCTTTGTAAGTTTTTAAACATAACATTTGTTCAGGATGATTGATAACAGTCATTTCTGACTGTTTATTTGTTGACCATACTTATAATTAGGTCTCTTGAAATCTCCAAATGTCAGCTACACAGACGAGTTATAAACACTTGAAATTAAACCCACAGCGCATGTTCATCAATGTTCTATGTGTTTAGAACAGGAGAATGATTTGCAAGACCCCTTGCTAGGGTGGTTGGTGCTGCCACATGGGCCCAAGGCATGGGTGCTATCTACTCCAATCAAGCACAGTTTCCCTACAAGTGGCCACTGCTCTGGGGCTCCAGTTCCACCTTCTTGGTTCCTTGGCTTAGGTACCTGGATTTCTGTAGCTTTGATTTAAATACACATACCAACAGTTAAGCATGTTCACATACAGTCATTAAAATACCTAAACACTTTTGGAGGAAGAGTGTTTGAGAATCAAAACATGGGTGGGTGTTGTAGCACACACCTATAATCCCAGCACATGGGAGGCTGAGGCAGCAGGTCTGATGTCAAAGCCCATGTGGACCATGTATTGAGAGCCTGCCTCTAAAGAGGAAAAGAAAAAAGCTGAAACAAAACCTGGGCAGGGAGGCTGTGCACTAGCAGCATATTTTGCATCTCTCAACTCCTGCAGAGAATGTTGGGCTCTATCCCTCCAAGCACGGTGCCATCTTTGGTTGGGCACAGAAGCCAGGGCTGTGAATGAACAGCCGCTGTGGACTTATCCCACTCCCGGGTCAAACTCCAGCTGAGAACTGTGGTCGCAACTTAACATCCGGCTGACTGCCCGAGAACCTAAGATTTAGCTTGTCCTTGCTTTTTCCTCTGGGATTTCCAGCTCCATTGAAATCCCAAATGTGGAAAGTGTCAGTGTTGCTCATGACACAGACTCCATAGGATTCTGAGATGGCCCTTTTTTGTCTTATCTTACAATATAACCCTTCAAGTTCTTTACTCATCAGTACTCTGCGGCCAGGCCAGACCCTAAATTAGAACCCCAGTCCAGAAGCGCCAGATCTGTGAGCTCCAGGCAGCAGTGCTCGGAAAGGATAGCTCTTGGAACTGGGGCTGCTCCTCTGGTGGCCAGGAGAGTTTCTGCTTGAGTATCAATCACTTCCTGTCGCTTTTGCTTTTCCTTTGTGAAGAAATTCAACTTGCACAATGATATGGGGTGCTTTACTCTCTTATCTATATAAGCATCTTAAAGGTTCTGGAAAACAATTTGCCCAACTTACTTCAAGGAAAAACTGGAATTGTATACCATGTCATAGTAATATTTTAAAACAGACTTTAAAATGTTCTTTCGCTACAGTATGATATTTTAAAAAATCACGTAAGGAAATGTAGCAATAGCAGCAGTTATAAGATACAGCTCTTATTCAGGTTAGGATTATTCAGCAAGGTGGGATGGAGTCCTTTTTAGCCACATAGTTGTAGGTGCAAAGATGTGAGAGTACATCAATAAAACAAAAGCTTCTGCTTTTATGGAATTAATGCTTTAATGTGGGACAAAGAGGCCATAAGCAGATATATACGTCAGGTGTGAAAATGCTATCCTTAAAAGTAGAAACGCAGGAGTGGAAGAAAGCTTCGAGCGGTGTTGAGGTGAGGCCTCTTGACGAGATTACCCTCTCAGCATAGCCCTGAGGCACGTAGTCTAAGCCTTGCGTGTGTTTGGAGAGGACGGTTATTGTACAGTGACAGTGTGGGTTCAGTTAAGAACAAGGAGACAAGACTTCCCAGGATATAGGGCAAATAGCAGGGAGGCCCAGACAGCTAAGATGGCTGAACCAGAAGGGTGTGTGATAGAAATGGAGAGACGGAATCCGTCCCTCATCTCCTGAGGGTCTCAGGAAGAGATCTTCACATCTGTTGCGTGTGCTGATGGCAGGTGGCTGTTGCTTTAGATTGCTGCCCCAGCACACTGGGACATAGAGCTATTTGAATTTCTCTTCTTGTTACCTATCATTCATTTGTAGCTGGAATGTCTTACTACTTGAAGATCTCACATTTCTAGGGAGATTTATCAGCAGGGTAACAGGCACTGCATTCCTAGGGAATGGCAGGCATTAGAAGACACTCTGAAGGTTTTAATTGGACCTTGAAACCTCTTCTTGAGAATATTTTTAAAAAATCTATGATCTAGGGCATTTTGTGAATTGATCTTTGTTTTCCTGGACTTTTAATTTGCTTTTTCAAATGGTTGTCTATAAAGAGACTTTTAAATAGACAATATAATTACATACTTATCAAAGATTTTATCAAGTAAATATGACCTTTTATTATTTTGAAGGTTATTCCATCGACAGGCAGCAAGCTGAAACGGCCAACACCAACTTTCCATTCTAGCCGGACATCCCTTGCTGGCGACACCAGCAATAGCTCTTCCCCAGCTTCCACAGGTGCCAAAACTAACCGGGCAGGTAAGTACCCACCGTACACAGGGCTGAGGATAGGAGGAATAGCCCAGCTGCTTTGAATTGGGCAAATGTCAGCCTCTCAGGAGCCAGTGTTAGGATGAGCCCTTGATGTCCTGCCCAGAAAGACACTTGCGCTCTTTGGGCAGCCGTTGCTTTTCTTGTCAGTGCAGTGAACTCTGACCTCCTACACTCAACACTGGAGCTAATGCAAACTGTTAGCAACTTTCCCAGGGTGCCGTGTTTTTATGACTGCTGGTGAACTGGGGAAGTGGAAGCTGGCTGACTGCAACTCCTCCTGGGAACCTAAAAATTGACCTCTTAGATTCTCCTCTTCCCACCTGCACCGCCATTTGCCATCTGCTCACATATGCTGCAGCCTCATCCATCGCCTTCCTGAGCCACGGTGACTGAGCAGCTTTGCTTTCTGCTGCTCAGGGTGACAGGCAGCCTCACAAACCAGACAGGGCTCACTGCCTGCTATACTGATGAAGTGTGGGTCCAGAATGGCATGGTTTCCCACAAGGCCACTCAGCAAATTAAGTGCTATTTGTTAGGAGCAACCTCTTAGCCTCCGGTCACTCGTGCTTTCATAGTAAGCCTTCTCCATTAAATCCCCTGCTTTACTCTTTAATTCCAGACCCTAAAAAGTCCGCCAGCCGTCCTGGGAGTCGGGCCGGGAGCCGGGCCGGGAGTCGAGCCAGCAGCCGGAGAGGAAGCGATGCCTCTGACTTTGACCTTCTAGAGACTCAGTCAGCTTGTTCAGACACTTCTGAGAGCAGCGCTGCAGGGGGCCAGGGCAGCTCCAGAAGAGGGCTCACCAAACCTTCCAAAATCCCAACCATGTCTAAGAAGACCACAACTGCCTCCCCCAGGACTCCGGGTCCCAAGCGATAACGCTGTACAAGCACCCCATACCACTATCCACTTTGAATCCTGCTCCATACATTGGGTGTATATTTATTCTGAACGGGAGAAGTTATATTGTTAAAATTGTAAAAGAATAATTGTGTTATGAAGCTGCCTTATTTTTTTTCCTTTTTGTAAGTTACTATTTTCATGTGAATATTTATGTAGATAAAATTTGCCTCCTGGTAGCCCTGTAATGGATGGGGCCCAGAGATGAAATATTTGAGGAAAACAAAAGGTCAAGACGCAAATGTGTATTAAAAAGAAAAGCCTAAATAGGGTTCATGTGGCGCAGGGTTGTAAACCTGCTTTATCTTTTAGGAGTATTCCTAAATGCATCTTTATAAACTTAACTTGCTATATCAGCAAGATAAATTATATTAAAAAAATAAGAATTCTGCAATGTTTAAGGAACTCTTCTTTGTAAATCACAGACACCTCCATTAGCAAGAACTAAGGAGAGGGCACTTAAGATTGCATTTCCATTGTTCTACTGTCATGGAATTGTAGCTAAAGAGACAGAACCTCATCTAGATAGCTTTTGCAAAGAGTTCATTGCAATATTGTCTTAAAATAAAGTCTCAGTACTGGGTGTTAAAGGCACATAGCTGCTAGGATTCAGGGGTAAAGGAAACTTCAGAACATTGGGGTTTTAAACTGATTTGTAACAACTGTCCAGCCCAGCCATCAAAAACTCCTATGCTCACCAGGCCCCAGGCCCTGGTGAGGGAGACTCCTTGGTGGCACTGTGAATTCCAGATTTGTTTATCTGCTTTTTTCTTTTTCTTTCTTTTTCTTTTCTTTTTTTTCTTTTTGCTATTTATTTAAATCAATCAACCTCCCACAAACTGAGGAATGAATTCCATAAGCCTATTTTGAAATGTGGACCTAAGACAAACACTTGCTCATCCTTTGACGGAGTTCACCAGCACACCTGTTCACCAGTCCCGTTTGCTTCCGTCTTTTTTGTGTGTAATAAAGTCAGCTGACCAAGTGACCATGAAGGGGGGCTATCTGGGGCTCCTATTTTTTAGCTGCTGTTCCTCGTCAGCTCTGACCATGTTGCTGTGTGATTATCTCAGTTGGTTTTAATTGAGGCAGAAATTGAAGCTCTACCAATGAACTGTTTAAAAACAAGACACACTTTTGTATTAAAATTGCTTGCGGTAACAAATGTTTTGTAATTCCTGGCTTTATTCTGGACCACTACTTTATATTTGAATGTTACCCCTGAGGCATAAAAATGTTGTAGTACTTAAATACATCATTCAACAAGAGTTTTCTTGATGGAAAAAAAATCATAGAACTCATTACTTTTTTCTTTATTTTATCCTTGTTAATTTTAACAAGGCACCGAATAAGTGGGATGTTTTCACAGTGCCCCTATGTAGGGACACTGTCCGCCTATGGGGTGGGCAAACTCCCCACAGTAGGATGACATCCCTGTGACCTGCTGGAACTTCACAAGCCAGAGTAGTTACCCTGTTAACCTGAAACCGCTGCTGAGGATGGAAACAAGTGCACATGCAGGACTGTGGCACAGAAAGGACTTGATTCTGCTGAACTAGCTGATCAGTTGGCACCATAAAGAGCTGATTGTAGGGATCATAGACTGACCCACCCCTTCTCACAGTGGCCAGATGATAATATGTCGCCTGGTGCTCACCTAGACAGTCTCACAGTTATATAAATCCAAGACCCATCATTTCCTTCGCTATTTGAATTTACTAGTTTGCCCACATGGCCTCCTGTCATGGACCACAGTGGACAAGGTAGAGGGAATAGCCGCTCTGAGGCCCTCTTGCTGGTTTCCAGACTCGTGAAGGAAAACACTACCTAATTATTGGGGAAGATGGGTCAGGTGAAGTTGAGCCCACTGGAAGGCAGTCCATTCCGATCCCTTTGTTTTAGAGCTGGAGAAGCAGGTGTATTCAGGAGACCAGTGTGAAGCCACTGGTGGACGCTTCTGGGGGCGAGTCTTGGACTCCTGTGCTAGTGTGATGCCTCTGCTGCTTCCAGTCCTGAACTGGCCCTGACATGGCCACAATAGCCAGCTTCTGACTTGAATAATGCGGGGGTCAAACTCAGATCTGTGTTCTTACTCCTCAGGCTACATGCCCCCCTTAAATTCTAGAATTTGGCAAAGTTGTAAATGCATGTTTGCCAAAGCTACGTAAGGTCACATGTTCAGAGTGAAGGAAATATATAGATAGCCTTTCATGGAACTGGATGACCTGAAAGCTGTCAGCCTGGGTTTGGAGAGTTGGCTCAGTCATTAAGAGCATTTGCTGCCCTTGGAGAAGACTTAGTTCAGTTCTCAGCATTCATCTAGTGGCATAGAACCACCTATAAATCGAACTGCAGGGAATCTTCTGGTTTCCATGGATACCTGTACATAACATGTACATATACACGTGCTATACATACTCATAATCTTCTGGGGCTGAAGACATGCTAGGAATTTGCTGCTCTTCCAAGGAACCCGGGTTTGTTCCCAGAACCCTTATCAGGCTGCCTCTATAGGCATCTGCATTCACATGTATGTACCTACATGTGACACACAGACCTATTCATTTTGGTTTTGAGACAAGGTCTTACTATATAACCTTGGCTGTCCTGGAACTCACTAGGTAGACCAGGCTGGTCTTGCACTGCCTCTGCCTCCCGAGTGCTGGGGTTAAAGTCTTACGCCACAACCAGCTTTACATACACATAATTTAAATAGATTTGTTTTTAGTTTAAAATCTTTGTCTTAAAAAGCTGTTGGAATTTAGTGTAAGATAGTGTTTTCATCCTAATTGGCTTCTGCCTCCTGATGCCCAGCAGCATCCATCCCTCCAGGGTAGACTATCTGCTCTTCCTTTCTTTCCAGGAGACTTAGGTTCTAAGTATTCAATAAAGCTCAGCTGGCAGGTGGGGTGGGGAGTACTCGGAGAGGTGGCTTGGGGCTTGAGACCAGTTCTTACAGGTCTTGAGCTAAGTTCCCAGTACCCACATAGGGTAAGGAATTCAATGCTTCAGCTTCTAAGGACATAGACACTCATGTGTGCACACACACAATTAAGATAAATCTTAAAAACAAAACCAGAAACTGGCTGGTGGTGGTGCATGCCTTCAATCCCAGCACAGGCAGAGGCAGACAGATTTATGTGAGTTCCAGGCCACCCTGATAGACAAAGGCTAGTTCCAGGATAGCCAAGACTGCACAGAAAAACCCTGGAGGGAGGGGGGGAGAGAGAGAGAACAACCCAAAAAAGGGGGGGAAGCTCAGTAGTACCACAGAAAGCTTATTTCCATTAAACAGGGAACTGTGTAAGACATAGGAAATAGACAAGAAAGAGGCTTAAAATACTGCAGAGGTTGACAAGGTGAATCAGCAGAGAAGGTGCTGGCCACACATGCCTGGAGACCTACTTCCCTTTAGTCCCCAGAACCCACAAAAAGATTGGAAACGGCTTCCACAAAAATCATCCTCTAACCTCTACACAAGCCTCTCCCCCATAATAACAGTTCTGAGATGTGATTTAGAAAATACATGTTTGATGGGCAGTGAGAGGGCTCAGCAAACAAAGGTGCTTGCCACGAATGACTGAGCTCAATCCACAGCCCACACAGTAAGAGAAGACCAGCTATTCCCACAAGTTGTTTTCTGACCTCCACACATGGCACGCACATGCATGTTGCACACACATTCGACATAAATGATACAAATTTTGTACCTGCTGAAGCTTTACATGGATAGTGAACATTTATGGGATGCTGGCCAGCATTCCATACATTACAGAGAACTTGTACGCTAGATAGTTCTTATTACACGTCCCAATTCCATGATCTTGAGTCTCCCTAAGGATAAAGTTGAGTATCTTAGCAAAATCACAGTCGGCAGGTGAGCCAGGAAGTCCACACTTTGACGCTACCTTCTCCAAGAAACTTTAGCCACCTTAGTCTTTCTGCTGTTCCAGGGTTCCACTGAGGAACCCTTCTCTTCCCAGCACCCCGACTCTGCCCTTTCAGAACCGTCACCAGCTCCTCCAGAGGAACAGCTTTCATTCTGCCTTTGAAATGACCAAGTTCACAGATGGTCAGCCCTGCTATAGTGGGAACACTCAAAGGTGGAGTCTTGGGTCAGGGCCCAGTAGAGCAGCCCACCATGACTGTTAATAAACCGAATTCTGAGTAGAGGATGTTGAGTGGCTGGCTAAACCCTGTTTCAGTTTACAAGATGTAGGTGGCTAGCTCCTAAGCTGAGATAAATGATGCCCCACCTGCCCACCCACGAGCCAGTCCCAGGCTGGGCTGATTGTAGGAAGTAAGTAGCCTGCCAGTCTAGCCTTGCCTAGGATGAATGCCACCTGAGACTTCAGATGGGGTGGAAGGTTCTTGGTGGTATGGTGTGGCGTTTGGTGCAGAGGGCACCCAGAGTTGAGAGGGGACCAGGGTAGGAGACTGTGGCAGGAGACTCAAGCTCCTGAACAAAAATCATATGGAGAACATCTTACTGCCTTCTCCAGTCATCGAGCCCTGTGGACTCAGCCTCTGACTTCACCCCATCACTATTAGAGAACCATTGTCAGTCCCTCTGTTGCTACATCAGTCTCCAACTTCAGCCCCTGTCTTGTCTCCCTACCACCCACACGCCCCTCAACATTCTAGTTCTAACCTCAGTGTGGGCAGTTTCAAAGGCTACTTGGCAGCATCGTCCTTAGAAGGCCAGCATTTTTCCCTCTTCTCCCTTCTTTCCATTCCCCTCACTCTCCTCTTCCGTGTTCTGCTTGCTTTGTTTGGAGACAAGGTCTGACTGTGGAGCTGTGAAGTCAGTCCTAGCCTTCTGGAACCACAGAAACTATTCTGGCCTTGAGTTCGCAGTGATCTTCCTGCTTCCCCCGCTATTCTTTATCTTTATGGGGACTTTGAAGTAGTATGGAAATTGATCTGTTGGATAAAAGACAGGCTGTGGATGATTGCTTGAAGAATTTAGTTGATTCTTGAAACTTGAAACAAGACTGGAGAGATGGCTCTGCGGTTAAAAGTCTTCAGAGGGGGAGCTGGAGAGATGGCTCAGAGGTTAAGAGCATTGCCTGCTGTTCCAAAGGTCCTGAGTTCAATTCCTGGCAACCACATGGTGGCTCACAACCATCTGTAATGAGGTCTGGTGCCCTCTTCTGGTCTGCAGACAGACACACAGACAGAATATTGTATACATTATATATATATATATTACTATATATAATATATATTATATATATATATAATAATATATATATATTATTATTTATATATATAATAATATATATTTTAATATATATAATATATATGTATATATAAATATATATATATATTAAAAAAAAAAGTCTTCAGAGGATCTGGGTTCAGTTCCCAGAGCAGCAGATGGCTCACAACAGGCTGTAACTCTAGTTCCAGGGGATCCACTGCCCTCTTCTGACCTCAGAGGGGAGGACACTGAACACAGGAAGTACACACATTTAAGAAAAAGCAAACTTTTGAAAGGATCACCTCAGCATATTTTGGTGACCACTATACAGTTATTTGGATTTTTATTTTGAATCCACACTGGAGAATTTATAATTGGCCCAAATCTGCATGTAGCACCCACCGCCTGCAGGTCTCTTTATGGTCTCTCTCCTGGAGCCCCTCCGGCAGCCACCCATCAGCTCTTCAGTTCCTCTGTTGTGCGTCCAGAGGTAAAGCACTTAATCTCTGTGTGCGTCAGTTTCCCTATCTGTTAAAAAGAAAAGTTCTGCGGGGCGCAGCAGCACATGTCTTGATCCCAGAGGCCGGCGTATGCAGTCATATCTCTGAGTTTGAGGCCAGACTGGTCTACAGGGCAAGTTCCAGGTCAGCCAAGGCTACATAGTGAGAACCTACCGAAAAGAAAAGAAAGAGAGGAAGAAAGAAGGGAGGGAGGGAGGGAGGAAGGAAGGAAGAGAAAGGGAGAGAGGGACGGAGGGAGGGAGAAACGCAGGAATGAAAGACCACTGTGTGCTCCGTAATGGTGTGTGAACACTAAGAATAAGCCTGGAAGCGCAGTCACCTGCCATTATGACACTCCCAGCCTTGACACAGTCATTCCTTTTGCAGGGCACTTTCCTCCCACTGACTTCCGTCCTTCCTGGTCAATTCCTTTCAGTGACACCTGAGCCGCTTTGGAGCCTTTACGACCAAAAGTCAATGCTGTGGCAGCAGCCAGGAGAGGCCCGAGTGCAGAAAGGGGTGTAAGTCAGAAAGTTTTCCTGGGGTTCCTTTCTTGCAAGCAGCTGGCGGCTGTCACAAATGAGGAGCTAAGCAAAGGTGTGTCCCCTTCGGGAGGTTTCAGAGGCCATCCATGTGGGATCATCAACGGGATCCGCCGGGTGGAGAAGGAGCTTGGTACTCGAAAAGTAGCGGGGACTGGGCCCTGGCAGCTGAGGGCAACGGATGTGCCCCACCTTCCCGGCACGGCTGGCACTAGCCCAGCCCAGACGGCAGGAACTATGTGTCTGGGCTCCGTCTATGTCGCTGTGTGGAGGAGAAGGGCGACGCGGCGGGTCCCACGGCTGCCCGGGAACTCGGGATCTCGCCCGCCCCAGGGCGCAGGTGCCTGCTTCAGAGACCCCGACGTCTCCGCGCGGAGCCCGGCGTGCGCCCCGGAAGCTGGATGGGGATCCAGGACACCCTTGAAGGCCTCTCCCCAGCCCGCCCACTACTTACCTCGGGGTCGCACGAGGCGCTCCCACCACTCCGCGCCACAGTAGCTGCGGAGACACCGGGCCGGAGTCTGTCCGGGCTCGGACACGCCCCTGAGGCCCCATTGGTTGGCCCGGGCAGGGGCGGGGCCGAGGAATCGCTCGCCCGTCCGTGAGGCCACGGGAGGTCCAGCTCTGGACACTCGCGGGTCCGCGCTGCGGGAGCCCAAGTTGCTCTGCGGGACCTACGGGCTTGGCGACTGGCTGTCGAGCGCAGGGTGCGCGGCCGCTGCAGAACTCCCAAGACAGGTGCGAACTCAGGGGACCCGCTGCGCCGTCCGGTCCTCGCCGTCGGGGCGTCTCTCCCGGGCCCTGCGAGCCGCGAGTGGATGCGCGTCCGCTGAGCGTCTGAGATGGCCGTGCGACCCGGGCCGCTCTGGTTGCTGGGCCTGGCTCTATGCGCCCTGGGCGGCGGCCACGGCCCGCGTCCCCCACACACCTGTCCCCAGCGTCGCCTAGGAGCGCGCGAACGCCGAGACATGCAGCGAGAGATCCTGGCAGTGCTCGGGCTGCCTGGGCGGCCCCGACCCCGCGCGCCACCCGCCGCCTCCCGGCAGCCAGCGTCCGCGCCCCTCTTCATGCTGGACCTGTATCACGCCATGGCTGATGACGACGACGGCGGGCCCCCTCAACCTCACTTGGGTCGCGCGGACCTGGTCATGAGCTTCGTTAATATGGGTGAGTTCATGGAGGGCCCCTCGTGGCAGCAGTCTCCATGCGGTGTGGGCATGACCGCCTATCTGGGGATGATGCCCTCTGGTAGTGCAAGGCCCCCTGGGACAGAGAGTCAAGGTGCAAGAGCACCACGGGGAAGAGGCGACTGTAGGGATCAGGGCTGGAAGGTCTGAGGGCTATCGCGGGTTCCCAGGGTCTTTGCCCACCAAGGCGCGCAGGAATGGGAATCTGGTGATGCCCAGGAACCCCTAGGCCCAGGAAGACAGCTGGTCCTGGGAATGCTGATGAGTAAACAGAGGGCTGTGATGCTGTCGTTGTGATAAACGCAGTCCAGAAGAGAAGGGCAAAGTTCAGTGTGGAAACCTGTGGTCATATCATCAGAGTGACCAGAGCTGATCCACACGCCCTGACGGCAGGTTCTTTCTGTGCAGCAGGAAGCGGGTGGGTGGGGTGCACTGTCAGGAGGTGGAGTGGACAGACTCAGCTGTGACTGTAGTTTTGTGGGACTGGGCCCGAATATCTGGACCTTGGTCTGGCACAGGGTGAGTGTTCAGGCCAGTGAACGATTCAAGGAAGAGCTGTGGGTCTATTCTCCCAAAGTGTGGCTCTTCCCTTTTCCGTGTATCTCAAGACCTCAGGGCCACCAGTCTTTTGCTTGTTAATTTACGTGTGTGAGTGTTTTGCCTACATATATGTCTGTGTACCACATTCTTGCCTGGTGCTGGAAGGGGCCAGAAAGGGTCATCAGATCCTCTGAAACTGGAGTTACAGACAGTTGTGGACAGCTGTGTTCGTGCTGAAGAATCAAATATAGGGCCTCTGGAAGAGCAGCAGTCAGTGGTCTTAATTCCTGAGCCGTCTCCCCAACTACGTCCCCCACCTTTAAAAAATACTTTTCTGTTATGCATATAAGGTTTTACCTTCGTGTATGCATATGTACCAAGTGCTTGCAGTGCCTCATGGGGGCAGAAGAGAGCGTCAGGTCCTCTGGGACTGGAGTTAAAGATTATTACAGGAAGTCCTGAGCAGCAGGTGCCCTTAACTACTGACCCTCTATCTCTCCAGCCCCGACCTCTAATAGTCTGAAAGGTACTTTTCCAGAATACCTTTTCATCACTGCTTTGCTGAGGTTTGTGGTGGGTGGGGTCTGCGCAGCACTTGTCCAGATGAATAGCTACAGTCTCTACTCCTATTGCCCAGGGATGGGCAGGGAGGCCCAGAGAGGCACTGAATGCCTGCGATATTCCCTCCAAGATGGGGAGAGCTTTTGATAGGATGGGCAGAGGAACACAGGGGACTGGACAGCAGGGTGTGTGTCCTCAGCTATTTGTTTTCCTGCCGGAAGGCAGGAAGAAACGGCACCCAAACCTCTCTTTCCCAGTCAGAGCTGGTGGTGGCAGAGGTAGGAAGGCAGCTATTTAGCCAATAGCCCAGCTCTAAGGAGGCACTGCAGCCAATGGGCTCTAGATACAGCCTTTCTGCTTGGAGGGCAGGGTGGGGATTTAGGATGGACCTCATGTGGGGCTGTAACTGCCTCTCCATCTTTAGGACAGGCTGACCCAGGGCTTGGGACTAAGAACTAAGGATAGAGTTGCCCAAGAATGTCCCCAGAGAAGCTGCTGATCAGAATGAATCACCACCCAGCCCATGTTCTGCACCCCACCCCCATCCTCTGATCAAAACACCAACAGCTCTGGTGGGAACTGTTGCTGTAAATAGAGCAGGACCTCCTCCTTCTCCTGCTGCTGCTGCTGCTGCTGCTGCAGTGCAACTTTAGGGAAGTCCCTTGTCTCTGAGCCTAACACCTGTCCTTTAAATGGGACTCGTTGGCCAGGCATGATGACACACAACTTTCATTCCAGCACTCCAGAGGCGGAGGCAGGTGGATCTCTATGAGTTCCAGACCAGCCAGCCAGGGCTATATAGTGAGACCTTGTCTGAAAAATAAATGAATAAATGTAGTGACCTGTCCTCAAGGTTGTATGACTGACTGACAGGTGAACAGGAGCAGAAAAGCGGCCTCCCTTCACTTAGAATGTGAATTGGGCCACTGCCGACCCCCAGAGTGATCAGGAGCCAGGCCACTGCCAAGCCCCAGCCCTTCCAGCTGCAGCTCAGCTGTGCAAAGAAAGCAAGAAAATCTGTGTGGATGCATGTGGTGCATTGCAACTCTAACCCTAACACTCAGGAGGCTGGGGCAGGAGGATTGCCACAGCTTCCAGGCCAGCCTGGGCTACAAGGCATCCAGAGCATCAGAGTAACCACAGGCCCTAGTGAAAGAAAGACAGTGGGAGAAGGGAGAGGAGAGATGGGAAGGAGGGAGGAGGAGAGAGGGGAGAGGGAGGGAGGGAGGGAAATCAACCTCATGTGTCTGTGTCTCATGCATACTGAAAGCTGGAAATAGATTCTAAAAGCCAACCAAAGGTTGTATGTCCTGTGTTTCGAAGAAAAGTTATCCTTTGACCTTTACATCCTTCCATTTCTCATTTGGTTGAGACAACAGCATGTGGACCTGTTTTGCCATCCAGTTTCATGGTCCCAGAGAGGATAAGTAGCAGGGCCAGAAACACACAGCGTTTAGGTCACATCCATGGTGATGGTTTCTAAATCCTGTTTCCCCCACCAACTACTGCCTGTAGGATCTGTGGAATTAACAGCAGGTCCTTTTTGAGTGCAGACTCACTGTGAGTGACCTACTACACTGGCCATGGCAGTAAACTCTCCCAGCTAGAGTGATCGTGTTGGTTTTCTCAAGACAGAGTCTCACTATGTGGCTATCCTGGAATTCCCTATGTTGACCAGGCTGGCCTTGAATTCACAGAGATCCACCAGCCTCTGCCTCCCCAGTGCTGGGATTAAAGTGTGCACCTCTATGCCCATCTTAGAATGATTGCTTACCTGCTGAGTACCAGGCCCCGTGTGTCACACACATACCTGATGCCTTCTGTTGGCAAGCCCAGGGCTGAGCCTGAAGGTCAGGACCACTGGCAGCAGCATCCCAGGGTATCAATGTCTGTGACCCTGTGGGGCAGCGTGACAGCAGACTCCTGTCCCTGGTGTCCCTGTGCTCAGAGAAGGGAGAGCCCCAAGCTAAGTTGGTACTCTCAGCCCCGGACCCGACTCTTGTCCCCCCCTGATCCACCCTCAGTCCCTGCTGGTCTCTGCCATGCATCCTCCCTTCTGTGGGCCTCTGTCTCTGTCTGTGTCTGCTGTGATCAGAAAAACGAGATGCCTCCCAGCCCTGATCCTTGCTTCTGTTTCTTTGGCACCTGCTGGCCTCACAGCTCTGTTCCTGGGCTGGGTGGCCTCAGGCCTTTCTATCCTTCCCAAGGGTGGAAAGGGGCAGGAAGGACAACAGCCCTGCCTGCTCATGTCTGTGAACAGGGAGGCAGTTCTGTTCTGGATGGGGAAACTGAGGCACAACCAGCACCAACAGGCAGAGCCCAGCAGGACCACATGGAGCCATCTGCACATGTGTCAGCCCCTTTCCCAGCCCAGGAGTTTTTCTTCCCGAGGCCTCAGATGGCTGAGGGCAGGGGCAGCAATGAGCTATGGGGGCCACATCTGAGGGCATGAGAGACCCGGCCTTGGTCCCGCTCCGTCCCTGCCAGTCGTGTGACCTTGAGGGTGACACTTTCTCACCACTGACCTCAGGGTCACTTCCTGTGGTCCTTTACCAGGTACGAACCAGGTAAATTGAACCAGGTCTTCTGGAAAAGCAGTCAGTGCCCTTAATCACCGAGCCACCTCTCCAGCCCCAGAGATGCTCATCTTTAAGGGGCTCCTGGGGCCTAGTGAGATGACAGCAGCACTGACCACATGGCCAGACATCTGTCCCTGCATTTGCGGTCACCGTGCTGGCTCAGGAGAGCGAGGCTCAGAGAAGGCTGGTGATATTCCCAATGCCACACAGCAGTTCCTCTGCACCCTGGGCTGTGCCCTCCATACAGCTGCCATCCACAGAAGTTTCCCAGGCTCATTATATAAAATTCAGACCATCCACAATCAGATAACGAGTTCCCCTGGGAATCCTGCTTCTACCAGCCAGTCCCCCTAGGCAACTGCTGGGATTCCTTTCACCCAAGTCTCTCGGCCTCTTTCTAAGCTTCACAGACATGGGATCATGCAGTACACTTTTAACCCACTCCACGAATTTCTCTGAGAGCCACCCATGTTCCTGTTTCTATCATTCTTAACTTCAGAGTAGCATAAATGGTCCAAGACCATCTTTGTTTTGTTTTTATTAATGGAGATTTGGTTCTTTTGGGAGGGTTTTGAGTAAAGCTGTTCTATGACTGTAGCTTCAGGTACTCGGGCACCTGTACCCGAACAGAAGGCTGGAGCATTCTGAGTTCACAACGAGCCTGGGAAACTTACTGAGGTCCTGTCTCAAAGAAAGGAAAAAAGAAAGAAAGAAAGAAAGAAAGAAAGAAAGAAAGAAAGAAAGAAAGGAAGGAAGGAAGGAAGGAAGGAAGGAAGGAAGGAAAGAAAGAGGGAAGGAGGGAAGGAGGAAGGAAGAGAAAGAGAGAGAAAACTAGGGCTGGAGAGATGGCTTAGGGTATGGGGAGATTGCTGCTGTTCCAGAGAACCTGATTTGGTTTTCAGCACACATGTCAGCATGTCAGCCGGTTTACAGCCCCCAGTTACTCCAGCTCTAAGGGGATCTAATTACCTCTGGCCTCTGTGAGCACCTGCACTCAAGTGCACATACCCACATACAGACAGACAGACATACATGCAATTATAAGTAATACAAATAAATCTTTTTTAACGAGAAAAGAGGCGAGGGTCAGTGATGGAGCCCTTGTGATAGGCCCTGAGTTTATTCCCCAGTACCAAAAAAAAAAAAAATCCCACTCTCAACCAAAGCTGGTTTGTGTGTGTGTGTGTATGTGTGAGGGAGGAAGGGAGAAGGGGGGAAAGAGAGAGAGAGGAGAGAGAGAGGAAAGATAGAGGAGAGGGAAAGAGAGAGAGAGAGAGACAGAGAAGAGAGAGAGAGAGAG